TTCAATCTTAACGCTACAATTATGGTCGTAAATTATCAACAAACTCCACCGGTCTCTTTCACATAATTCAGCCATGACCAATCATTTATAGCCACTAGTCTAAACACGACATCCCTTGTCATATATACTCTTATGCATTTCAAAAACCAGCCACCTATAACATCCAGGTGACAATACCAATACCGGAAAAGGTTTGAATTTTATTATTGACTTAAGCAATTATAATATGTAACAACAACAACAATATGTCACCAACCTCTTTAAATCACATATAATAAGGCTTCACTCAATGGGACCCTCTCGTAACTCATTCTCGCTACTATCTCCTCTACTCTTTCACTATATCCCACATGCTACTCTCAAGCCAAACAACACCTTAAATGACGTAAAGCCATGGAAGATGAGGTTAATGTTAGAGATAGGAACCCGAACCAAGCTCGATACCAATTTGTTGGGGATAAATTTTAGATACCACACAAAGATAACCGGAAGAAAGTTACTTGAAGAGGGAGGAGACATAAGAACACTTGATAAAAGACACTTTATTTATTAGAAACTTAACTCACTCCACTCTACATAACATCAAATCACTTATAACTATATATGGAGATACTAGACATCTCTTAATTATAACACACAAAATACTAAACATTATATTAATGACACATCACACATAACTAGGTTCATAAATGTAATGACTACATTCATACTTATTTATTCATACTTAGCCATAATTAAGTTTACTTTCCAACAATTAATGTTTTACTCACCAATGGAACTTGGTCTTTAGTTTTGCACCGGAGAGGTATGAACACCATTGGCTGCAAATGGGTGTTTCGTACCAAAAAGCATGCCGATGGGAGCCTAAACGAGTATAAAGTCGGACTAGTGACCAAGCGTTTTCACCAATAAAAAAGGGTTAACTATACCAAAACCTTCAATCATATGGTAAAACCGGTAATAATTCAATGTATCTTATCCATTGTTGTTACCAAATCTCGGACTATCGGATAACTTGATGTCCATAATGCTTTCCTAAATGGCATTTGAATGAAACGAGTGTTCATGGAACAATCGATGGGATTCATTGATAAACGTTTTCTCGACCATGTTTGTGGCTACATCGTACCCTTCATGTCTTAAAACAATCTCCACGAGTTTGGTTTTCTTACCTTCATAATTTTCTACTGGACCTTGGATTCATCGCTTCTAAAACGGATTTCTCTTTGTTTTTTTACAACAAAGATGATAATCAAGTGTCATCATTGCAAGAAATTTAGATATCATAATTCTTTCAATCATTGCGGACTTGCATAAATGATTCTCCATTCGTGATCTTGGGGCTATCACTTATTTCTTAGGCATTGAATCCATTCTAATACATGATGGTCTTTTTCTTTCCCAATAAAAATTGGAATGGAAAATTACTAGTCTATCGAGCATACCCATGCCAAATACTTCCAAACTTCATTCTCAATTCAATGCTTCTTCGTTAATGCCACATTAGATAGATAAATAGTAGAAGCTCTTCAATATATCACTTTAACAAGACTCGTATGTTTCCTTTGATGTAAACAAGGTATGTTAATTCGGGCATAGTCCCATTATCAATCACTCGGGTAATCGTGAAAAGAATCCTCACTATCTAAAGGAAATTATACACCACAACTTGAATAGGAAATCCACATAAGGTTTTGCTATTTATCTCGACAATAATTTAATTTCGTCGAAATCTATAAAACAAAAGACAATATCTAGAAGCTCTACCGAAGCCGAGTATAAAGCAATGGCCGATGCTACAACCGAGATAACTTAGCTTCAGTCATTACTCCATGAATTAGGTATACATATGCCTTCTTCCCCAACTTCGTGGTGTGATGATATTAGAGCAACCTATCTAGCAGCTTAATCCTATATTTCATACAAGAACTAAGTACATAGAGATAGATTATCACTTTGTTAGAGAAAAAGTTATAAAGGGAGAGTTGCATGTTTAATTTATGTCTAATCGAGATCAAGTTGTTGATGTCTTAACTAAACCTTTATCTACTAATCATTTTCAGTTCTTGTAGAGCAAAATGACAATACAACCTCATTAGAATCGATCACTCGTCTCTTTGTGGGAGAGTATTAGATCGGATGACAAACTCAAATGGCCACAACAAGCTTTGGCCGTAACTTGTCTCTCATACTCATCCATTAAGTGTTATACTTGTACATAATCTTTATCACTTAAGTTTTTCACTTGTACCATAATTCTATCCTATGTAATACGGACAACTATATATATATATATATATATATATATTATACCACCACTTAAGCTTAAGTGAGAGAGAATTCAAGTTACTTTTGTGTTTTCATTCCATATGACATCGACTGTTTAGCATAGCTCCAATGTTAGAGTAAACTATGATAATAATTGTCCATGAGAATAATATAAAATAAAACTTTATTTAATAGTTTAATATTTTGTAATGATATCAAAATTTAAAGGGATTTAACGACCTAACAAAAATTCTGAAGTCCATCCTATTTGACGGATCTCAAAAAATAGGTTGCAAGTAAAAAAAAATATTAAAAAATATATCTCATGTTAAATAAATAAATGATGAGTAATATATAAAGTTAAGAAAAAATCATTCACCATAAGATTTAAGTTTTTTAAATGAAACTCAATCTTAACTATTTAACTCTATATTAATTGATACATGGTACTTTAATAAAAATGAATTAAAAAAATCTTCATATAATACTTTAGAGGGATTAAGAATCTTAAAATTGTCTTGGTTTTAGAAAAATGAATAAATGATCGATTACCTTTAAGAAAAGATAACAATCACTCAAAAAATTCTTCTTGAAAAAAAGTCTTGGTCCAATTAAAGTCTTGGCATGAATTTAATGTCATTAAATTGTCATCAAACTCTAAGATTAGGAGTCTCGTCAATTATATGTCGGATCCAATTAAAGTCCTACCATGAATTTTGTTTTAGAAACACAACAACAAACCAAAAACACTAAGTTAATTAAAATTTATTATAAAATGTTATTAAATTTTTGTCATAACATAAAATTAAGAGTCTCATCAATTTAATTTTGCATCCAATTAAAATTCTAGTATGAATTTAATACCAAAAACATCAAGACAAACCAAGATATGCTAAATTAATTTAAATTTATTGTAGAATCTCATTAAATTCTTATTGGACCCTATGATTAAGAGTCTCGTCAATTTAATGTCAAATTTGATTTCCTTTCAATATATGAATATATGTGGAAATGACGCTAAACGGGTATGCTAAGCTTATGCAACAATTAAAAAAAAAAAAAACTTGGCTAAATGGGGTGTTATTTTTGTTAGGCTCAAAAATCTAACCACCTCCGAACTTTAATTTATTTGAGATTGAGTTTTCGAACTTTTTATTCATTTTAGAGATCCTTAAACTTTTAATTTTTTTAGTCCATCCAATGATTTTCAGTTATCATCTTCCCTTCTAAAAAATTCAATTCTTTGTATTTTGATCCGAAAGTTTGCACACACACTGAAAAAATTCAATCCATTTTGTAGAAAAATTCTAAAATTTTTTAAAGTTGAAAACTATATTTGTTTATTTTTTAAACGGAAAAAACATATAAAATCGGGAAAACTAGAAAATAACTCTAAAATGATCCCAAATTTTTTTAGAAGCCCCTCAAAAACCTCGATGAATAATTTAAATTATGAAACTATCCGTGTGATTGTTATTTTTTGAGATAAGTGATTAAAAACTAAAAGATGGCTAAATCTGAAAAAAAAAAAAAAAAAAAGAGTTCGGGAATCTCCAAAACTAATAAAAACAATTGAATAACTCAACCTCAAATGATTTAAATTTTAGGAGTGATTAGACCCCTTTAATTAGCCTTTCTTATGCTAAATTAACCAAAATTTATTGTGAAATATTATTAAACTATCATCGCGGTTCTAAAATTAAGAGTCTCATCAATTTAATATCAGCTCTAATTAAAGTCTTGGCATGAATTTCATAGCAAAAACATCATGACAAACCAAGACATGCTAAATTAATTAAAATTTATTGTGGAATCTAATTAAATTTCCTTTGGATCCTACAATTAGAGAGTCTCGTCAATTTAATGTCGGATCAAATTACTTTTCAAATAAGAATATATGTGGAAAGGATGTAGAATGAGTGTGCGCAACTTATTCAACAATTAATTTTTTTTTTTTTTTTGGCTATATGGGGTGTATTTTTTTTATGATAAATTAATTAAAGTTTATTGTGATCCCATTAAATTACCATTGGACTCTAAAATTAACGAGTCTCATCAATTTAATGACGAGATATAATTAAAGTCCTAGTATAAATTGCATACTTGGAATATCATGATTAACCAAGACGTGCTAAATGCAAAACATGCAAATAATAAACATGATGCTACAAACAAAAACTTAATATTATGCTATCTGAAAATAATTATAGAACCTAATTGGACCACCATTGATCTTTAAAAAATAAAAGACTCATTGACCTAACATCGATAATTCTTATATTAAATCACATATGTAAATATTACAAGAATATGATATCCAAATGCTTTCGAAACAAGATTAAAAAATAAACTAAAAATAAAAATTATCAAAAGGCTAATTTTAGTATGCCAAGTTTGGCACATGTAAAGCAATGCATTTGAAAGGAGAAACTATAATATTTATCCATACCATATAAATAAATAATATCTATTGGAAATGTAAAATGCATGGTTAATTAAAAACAATGAAAACAAAGTCACTAAAAAAAAAAAAAAAAAAACCATCTAACAAACCAAGGATTAAACTGACTCAAATGGATAAACCTTTAAGAAAACTAAATTCTGTTTCTCAACATTTTATTATGCAAAGCATGAAAAATGGGGAGAATTTGCAGAAACTCTCTGCCAATATCAGAACATTGGAAGCTTTGAAAAAGAAGGATGGGAGATTAAGTGCCACGGGCAAACAACACATGTTCTTACCTTGCAGAATCAATTCTGTCAGCACAGTCCAGCTTTTGAAAACAATGCTGCAACCAGGTGTGGAAGAACTCACGAACAGTTATGGGCATGAGAAAGTGATTGCTAAGACCGAAACTACACAGAATTTGGAAGACGTCAAAATTGTTTATCCTAGAAAAGCGGCTATTGACGTCAAAGAATTTTTCAAGCAGGAAGAAGCTTTGAAGCGTGATAAGAAGAAGCAACTTGTGAAACTGAAAGCTAGAGCTATTGTTAGCAAATCTATCCTTTTGGCTCGAATATTGACAGTTCAAAAAACGTTTGTTGGTGCAGAAGGAGTAGTCAATGCTACTCTAATACAAACTATGACGTTGGATCTAGAAAAGATATGCTGCAGTCAAATGGTAAAATCCAGATTGCACAGGGGAAGGGTGCCATAGGGACCTATGCTAATTTTCTTGCTATTGTTCAAATTCGAACTGACAGATTAGATGTTGGGAAGAAGTTTGCAAAGAATGGCAGAAACAGTCATGACAGAACCTTGGGATTGCAGATTATAGCAAGGAACTGCAATCGAACCAGCTTTTAAAGGAAGAATAACGAACACAGTTGATACCAAGAGTGAAACATACTTGAAGGAACAACTTTAGTTAGAGATAAACAAGAAAGGATGATGGCATGGGAACAAGAAAAATTGTTCCTCTTTGACTGGATGGGTGGTGAAAACAACTTTCCATTTTCCAAAATAACAAGCCAAATTTTGAAAGGTGGAGGATCTGATCATGTAATTGCAGCGGAGAGGGTTTTAACATGGGCTTGATGTGAAAGTCTACAACAAAGAAGTTCAAATTATCCTCTTTAGTCTAACCAACGTGAGCAAAGGGTTAAAGAGTTTGACTGGATATCTACAAGACTGAGGGGAGAATGAACCAAATTTGAGGAAGAGTTTTCGTCAACTCGGGATGCTTGAAACACGGGAGTGTAGCCCATTCCAACTTGGTCATGTTTATGAGGCCTAATTTTCTAGCTTAATTAAGCTAAGGTCAAAATTTTATGTTATGTATTAACTTTTCTTATGTAATTTAGATTATCTAATTTTTTTTATGTGATTTAGGTTATCTATTTTTCTTATTTGGTTCAGTGTTTTATATTCCTAAGAATTGTTATTTAGAAGTACATATTTATTTAGAATTAGACTAGAATTAATTAGTCATTCTTGAATGTAGATTGGACTTACATTCCTAAGAATTGTTATTTAGAAGTTCATATTTATTTAGAGTTAGAATAGAATTAATTAGTCATTCTTGAATGTAGATTGGACTTAGGTTTCTAGTGGGACTAGCCTAAAGTATTTTCAGTCCGAATTGTCAAGTTTTCTTTTGCTTAGATAAAATTATGATCAGCTAGTATTTAATGCATCTTATGTCATGTAGAAAAATATATTTTTTTGAGTAATAATATTTTTGAGAAGCTCTTCTCAAATTATCTTGCATATCATGGTACTTTGCTTATGGTTCGTGTGTATTATCCTCATGTTTACTTAGAATTTCGTGTTTGTTGTATTCTTGTAATTGATCACTTAATGTAGCATTTTTATTGATCAACCATTAGTCTTAATTAGATTGTAACGGGGTTTCAAGTCTTGTCAAAGTCAATCAAATTTAAGGTTTTCCATTGCTTAGAAAGTTTTGGCCTAACAAAACTTAAGGCTGAAATTTCTGGCCTTCCTCAATTTGGGTGAGGAGGCTTTGACTTATTTGCTTTGTGGAGTGTAAATTTTGGCCGCCATACATCTAACAGAGTTGGAGTATTTGTCTTGGTTTGATTCATCACAAAATTGATGTCAGTAATGGTGGTGGGGTAGTATTAAAGAGTAATATTTAATAATTTTTTAAAATCATCTAAGAATTTAAATTTTTTTATTGAGATAATTTTTAACACGATATCAAAATTTTAATTACCTAATGATCATGAGTTCAAATCTTATTATATTCAATTATCTGTAATTAAAAATAAAAAATTAAACATAAGATAATTAATGAGTATATTAAAATATTATTGGAACTTATTAGATGTATACTTAATGAGATGTGTTAGAGAATATTATTAAACTGATATTTAACCTCATTTAACAGGCATGTGTTAAAAAAATAATACTAAAACATTTTAAGTACAAATAGAGGTTAAATAAGGAACTTATTAATGAAAAAGTTCTTATTTAATGAAAAAGTTAGAAGGGTAATTGATAGAAACTTACAACTGCCTAGATTTTTTAAGTAAGCTAAATGGCAGTATGTGAGCAATGCTATATATACACACATCGGTATTAATATTATTTTTAATGAATTTTTTTACTCTTGAACTATTGGGATTATAGCAAATTGAACCATGTATTATTAATTTGGTCAATTTTATCTTTTAATTATCATATTTAGACAAATATTATCTTTCTATTTGATTTGACCGTTATCAATGAAAAAAAAAAACCTATAAAAAATCAATTTTGGATATTTTAAGCAGAATGTTTTCACATATGCTAATAAAAATTCAATTAAGTTTCAAATATAATTTCAAAAAAAAAAATCAAATCATGAAGAAATTTTTATTTTTTTAAAACCTTAAATATTTACAAAATTATAAAAATACAAAATTAATTTGGAATGATCCCAAACTTTTTTGGAAGTCTCAAAAAAATCATATACATTTATCTGCTTACTTTTGGTATGATTCTTGAAATATTTATATTGTGAAATGGATAACGCCAAATCAAAGCTTAAAATTAATTAATTTTAGAAAATCACATATGCAAATATTTTGAGAATCACTCTAACATTATTTATGTAAAAATTCATATGATCTCCATAGAAATTTTCAAAAAAAACAAAAATTGATAATTCCAGTTTAGTTTATATTTTTTAATATTTTATTAAATTTTAAAAATAATAATCTCTAACTTCAATAACTTTTTAAATCATTTGTGATAGTAGATTGAGTTTCATTAGTATTTATGAAAATTTCAACTCAAATCACCAAAAAATAATTTTTTTTATTAAAATAGCAATATTTTTCCAAAACATAATAATTTGAGAATAAAATTAACCAAATTAATAGTACATATCTTACAATCGACAACTCTACCAATTTGGTTACTAGGAATGAAAGGTTCAGAATGAGAATACAAAAATCAAAATGAAAATTAAGGAATCAGAATAGCATTTCTATTCTCTTACTATGTTTAGAATACTTACGAAGAATAGAAATGTAATTTAAATTTTTTTTAATATCAATTTTTTTATACAAATAAAAAATAATTTTAAAACTATAATCATTGTGAAAATAAAAAAAGCGATGGTGGTGGTGGTAAAGATAAAAACAATTAATAGACAATAAATAAATAAAATATATTATTATTTAAAAAAAATTCGTTCACATTTTTTATTTTTATTCTCACATTTTAAACGAGAATGAAGTTATATAAAATTTTTATTTTCATTCTCACTCTTCATTTTTAGTCGTACTTCATTCCTTTCAACCAAATAACTATAATATGAGAATAAAACTTTTATTCTTATTTTTATCATTTTATTTTTAATTACTAAATATCATTGCTTTTTATAACAAACAGAAGTGGATGGATCCCTAAGATGAATAATTCCTTCAAATTTATTATTCAGTCTTGACTTTTCAAATTCATGAACAAACATATATATAATGGAAATGAAAGCTCGATCCTACAATGATATTAAGTCCCATGCAGTTTATTGAAAGCGAAGGGACAGCCACTTTTTCTACCGTGCAAAAGTCTGCAAGGAAACTCCCTGTACATTTTGTTTTCAGAAGAGTCAACAAAACGTCTTGATCTTTTTCTTTTCTTTTTTTCCGAATTTGTTGTACTAATTAGACTGGAAACACACAGACGACTAGGAGTAACATGGCCTTGATTTTACAGATTTCTGACTTCCTTTAGAAAGTTAACCACTCGCTGATGCATTCCAAGTTCACGAGAATCAGTGCTCCGACAAGATCGTTCCTAAAAATAAAATTCTTTTGTTTCATAAAAGATATCACAAAGAATGAGAAATTTTATAATACACGTTGAGGAAATTAAGGTGAATTTGTGGGAAGTGGGAAGCACTCAAATAAATGGCTGCGATATTCTTGAAAAAAAAAAAAAAAAAAAAGCCTATGAGATAACATTGACATCGAACAGGGCGTAAGATTTTCCAAATTTCTAACTTCTGTTAGACGGTATTAACCACATGAGATGCATTGTAAGTTCACGAGAGTCTGTGTTCTGATTAAGATGGTTTCAAAATTGTTTTGTTTCATAAAGTCAGTAGTTTGCGTGTCTTGTGTCACTTTGGATATTATTATGGTCAACAAACAATTTACAAATACTTGGAACCAGAGGTATGCCCTTTACCTAAGTTGGTTTAAATCATACCTTTCTTTTCTTTTTTGTTTTCATACGTTCAATATTAATATTATTTTCGAATCAATTTACAGATTTATTAATCGATATTAAACGAGCTCATAGACAAATCTTGTTCATTATTAAAAAAAAAATTGTGAAAAAAAAAGAAACATTTCTTACCGAAAAAAGAAAGGTTACTTTGTTATCAAATATTCTACACTGGTTCGGGTTTTATAGCTTAGTTGGGATTGTTGAGTTTAAACACCCAACCAATTTGATGTCTACAAATAAGGGGAAAAAAAATCTAGCTTAGTAAGATGGTTAAAAAAATTAACTAAATAACCAATTTTTTTCATTCTTACAAATAAAATCATATTTTTCTGAAAATTTATGTTTAGAATATTCAAATGTGTGAAATGAGAGTGTATCTGACCAATTTGTTTATTTATAATAAAGAGAAGTGGGCCTAGGACTAGACTTGTCATGGCCATGCACATGGCAGTGTTGGTCCTACCGTATGACTGGACCTAGTCCAGGCTCGCCGCCTAGTTCGTTCCCCCTGTTTTCAATTTCCTGATTTTGTTCCGTCTAAAGTAAATTATAAATTAGTATTTTTAGTTTTAAATAATAAATTAATTAGTCTCTTTTATTTCAAAAACTATTATTCAACTTTTTAGTCAATGTTAAATATATTTAATTTAATATTATTTTTATTTTATAAAATTTCTTATTTTTTCATCATTCTTTTCATGTTTTTTTCATATTTTTTCTTTTTCTATTTTTTAAAATAAAAAATCAAAATGATTAAAATTGAGCAAAAAAGAATAAATTATAGATAAATTTAAAAATATGAGAACTAAATAATTGGTTTTTGAAATAAAATAAATAAATAAATTGGTTTTTCAAAATGAGAGGGACTAATTTATAATTTATTAGCTTTTTATTTGATTTTTTTATATATATAAGAACAAAAATACACTAAAATATCAAGGACTTTTTAAAAAGGTGAAAGTGAAAGAATGAAAATTTAAATTAGAAACGTAAAACTTTGCAAAATTTTGATTATGACAACCCGCATGCAAAAGATCTATTAATCATTGTAATTCAATCATTAATCAAGTTTCAACTCTATTTTTGCCTTCGTAAAGGCTCTATTATTTTGAACACTAAACCGTATAGAAGAATAGAATTGAATAATATATAAAGCGCAACCAATTAAAAAAAAATATATATATATATATATATATACACATTTGAAGCATAATCACAAGGATTACAATTGGAGGATAAAACAAATATATGTACCGCTAGTCAACCATGCGAACTTGTATATATTGCTAAAATTTTATTCCTAATTGATGGTGAATATGCTATGCTGTCTATAAAAAACCAAAACTAGATATTAATCAAGTTGGTGATTAATGGTATGACTGATGACATGTTCATGTATAAGAAATAAAGCTAAAGAGAATCTAATTGAATAGCTGGACGTAGAAAATTTGCATACAAGTTGTCAGCTAATCACATGATAAAAATGTCATTTAGAAACGTTCTCAGAAAAAATAAATAATAGAATTTTGGCGAGACGCGGAAAAGAAACATGACACGCACTAACCATTTAATGACGACAAACAGGAATTTTTGTTCTTGGGTATCTTTCAATGGGCGGATTGGAAGGTTTAAATTCTTTAATCAAATTCAAAACAGTCATCTGCTGACCAATCACAAATAAATAAAGAAAGAAAAAACCAAATAGAACAACCCCCCCCCCCTCCTCTTTTTTTTTTTTTTTTTTTGGTTCATACGTTTTAATTAGTTTTGGAATTGATTATTATTAGTTCTTTGCAAAATATGCGATTTTTATTTTTTGGAAAAAAAACATATTTATCCTCAACTATCACAAAAAGTCATTTGCTGACCAACAATTTTGTTTTTCCATAAATTTTAATGATGAGATTTATTGAATAATGTTGGATGGACGGTGATCCAACTGACAATATATATTTTTTTAGATCTCCAAACAAAGTTGGGTGCCACTTATATTTGTAAATTTCCCAATTAATTAATCCCCTCCTTTTTGCTCCTTTTGTATTTGATTATTATCTGACCTAAGATTAAATTCTGCTTCCACAAGCAATAGAAGAATTTAGAAAAAGACATAATGAACCTTTCATTTGTAGTCAATTCCATTCATTAAAAACCAACAAGGAAAATATATATATATATTAAGGAGTGAAAGAAGGACAGCAAGTTGTCTCTTCCTCTGTTTATTTTCTCTTCGTTATCTAGTTGGATGAATGGTGGTTAGGACGTGATCTTTCCAGTGACGAGATAATTGGGCACTAACGAGTAACGCGTAACAGAGTTGGAAGCCATGGACCTTCGATGGCACTGCCAACTAAATTATTTTAATCACCGCATGTATTATCCAAACACTAAACTCCATCATTTGGTGAAGTTGACAAGCTCTGAGCCTTCTCATGGATTTCAATTTTTTTTTTCACTCCAGGCAAGCATGCACATGCAATCCTGCCAATTAGTCCCAAAAAGAAGAGAGAGAATATTTCCCCACTTTTCCACTCCAAACATCGACCAAGAATCGTTCTTTAGATAAGTGGTATGTCAATAGTATAATACCAATTTTGTCACCACACTCATCCTCAATGTTAGAGGATTATGATTGGCCAGAGTGTATTTAGCAGTCTTTGTTATATAATGATAAATTATTTTACAATCATTGTTTCTTGTTTCAATTTGTGTTGTGCTTGGAATGTCTACCTTTATAAATAGTCTGTTCGCCTTTTAAGAAAAGCATATTAATTTGTGGAGCCAACAAGAGGTTGTTGTTACTCAGAAAGTAATGGAAAATCAAACATTCATTGTTCTGTCTATATTCCTTTCTCTCCTCCTTACAAATGCTTCTGCTCAAAATCCTCAACTTAGACAAAACTTTTACCAGAACATATGTCCTAATGTAGAATCACTCGTCCGCTCTGCTGTCCAAAAGAAGTTCAGCCAGACCTTTGTGACTGCCCCGGCAACTCTTCGACTCTTCTTCCATGATTGCTTCGTTCGGGTTAGTAATTCGCCTTCCAAAGACCCCATTTCGTTAATCACGTTTCTGATAATTTAGAAATTTTCATCAATTAATCCTATCAAGAAGTTAAGGGTTTAAGTTTTAATTTTTCTTTCTTGGCATCAGGGATGTGATGCTTCTGTGCTGCTTTCATCCTCAAGTAACAATGCAGAGAAGGATCACCCTGAAGATATGTCACTTGCCGGAGATGGATTTGACACTGTGATCAAAGCAAAGGCAGCTGTTGATAGCAATCCACAATGCAGAAACAAAGTTTCATGTGCTGATATACTAGCCCTTGCAACTAGAGATGTTGTAGCCTTGGTAAGCAACTTCCCTTTCCTTGTCTGTTCTTTCAACTTTTGCAGATCATTAATTTTTGTCTCTAATTTGAAAAATGCTGATTCTAACTCTTAAGTACACATCTTTACTTGAAATCAGGCTGGGGGGCCATCTTATAAAGTTGAATTAGGAAGACGTGATGGGAGGATATCGACTAAGGCCAGCGTTCAACACAAACTCCCTCAACCTAGTTTCAACTTAAACCAGCTGAATTCAATGTTTGCTTCACATGGTCTATCCCAGACTGATATGATTGCATTGTCAGGTATCTAAAGTTTCCTATCCCAGCTGAATTCAAGTTTTGCTTCACATGCTCTGCCTCTGCAAAACTATGTTTTGGTTTCTGAAAAAATCTTGCCTATTTCAGGTGCACATACACTTGGATTCTCTCATTGTAGCCGAGTTTTCGACCGAATATACAAATTCAAGTCTCCAAACAGGATTGACCCAACTCTAAGTCGGCAATATGCTATGCAGCTTAGACAAATGTGCCCTGTTAATGTTGACTCCAGGATTGCCATTAACATGGACCCGACCACACCCCAGAAGTTTGACAATGTCTACTACAAAAACCTCCAGAATGGAAAGGGCTTGTTCACCTCTGATCAGGTTCTGTTTACGGATTCAAGATCAAAGGGCACTGTGAACCTATTTGCATCAAACAATGCAGCCTTCCAACAAGCATTCGTGGCTGCTATAACTAAGCTAGGCCGAGTTGGGGTTTTGACCGGTAAACAAGGTGAGATTCGGCGAGATTGTTCCAATGTAAACTAAATTAGACCTCATTTTTTCATGGACGTTCTTAAATTATGTTGTTGTTTTTTCTTTTCTGTAGCTTTTGTTTTTAATTTTTTATTGTTTCTATTGTTGGGGTTATCTATATTTGCAAGTGTAAGCAATAATACCAGAGCTGTATCCTTTCCAATAAATTATACAGCTCAGCTGCAGAGTGGTTTGTCGAAACGAAATATTGAATTATGTCTCTTCGCACAAATAAAGAAATGCTCAAGCCATTTTGTTTTTCAAAGAAGCGGCCAGAAAGAAAATTTTAGCTCAATTTATTAATTACCTTGTGGATTTAGAAGGGAAAATAACACTATCACTAAAAACAAAACATCATCAACTATAAAATTTGAAGTGTACTACTATTTATGGCACTATTCACTCAGATTAATGTAAATTATTTACCCATTCTTATATGCACGATTTTTTCGGTCCATAGATGAACTTAGCATGCATGCTTGCTCCTTTTTTTTTTTTTTAGCAATTTATTTTAATTTGTTTACTATTTGAATTGGGTGCGAAAATTATGAAAACTCAATTATTATTTTTTTTAATGCAGGCTGTTAATTATAAAATATATATGCTATATTTTTAAATTTTATAATAAACATATATATCACATTATATTACTCTTATTATTTAAAATTAATCTCTTCAATTTGTTATTTCTTCTGAAAATTATCATCAAATTAATTTTTTATTTTTATTTATATAATTTTATTTTTTAATAAATATAATTTATTTTTCTCTATGTACTAATTTTTGAATAAGTTTTTTGAAAAAAATAAATAGTCAATTGAAAAATGAAATTCATGTGTTTTATTTGTTTATTCTTTATATAATTAAAATTTATCGAAATTAATTTTATAGTTATTTTTATTGTATTCTATTAACTTCACTACATTCGTTACAACTTAAGTTTTTTTAAAAAATATTTTTTGATTTATGCTACATTTTTGACTCATCGAGTATGATCATTATATATATATATATATAGAAACATTGGTTTTATTAAAAATTAACTCTGCATCTATATACAAAGCACCAACAATATGCTATTAATTTTATTTTAATATTCTAGAATTAATTTCTTTCAAATAAAATAATTTTTTAAAAGAACCATTCAATAATTCAAATAAATTTTTTTATACTAACATTATTGATTATTTTCTAAATAAATATATATAAATTAAATATACAAATTAAAAAAAAATCCTCTCATCAATATTAGACAAGAATAAAAAAAGATTCATTTTTTAATCTTTCTATAAGTTTTTATATTAATTTTTGTTAGCAATCTTATGGAAAAAAATACTAAGGCACTTTTTATTTTTTAGTTTTTGCTTAGATTATTCCAGATCTTTATTTAAGAATGAGTGCATAAGAAAGAATAACTCATGTTTCTTTAACTACAAAATTTATAAAAAGAACATAAAGAAAAATAAATTAAATGCAAAATTCATAATTAAAAATTATAAAATTAATTTTATAATATTAAAAAAATAAATAATAATTAGTTGGTGTTATGTATGTAGATACACAATTAATTTTTAATAAAATCAATTACCTCTCTCTCTCACACACACACACACACACACACATATATATATATATATATATAATGATCATACTCGGTGAGTTCGAATGTTCAACATAAATCAAAAAATATTTTTTAAAAAAAAATAAGTTGAAAGGAATATATTGAAGTTAGGAAACTGCAATAAAAACAACTACAAAAGAATTTTTGATATATTTTAATTATATATATAAAAAAATCAAATAAAGCACATGAACTCTATTTTTAATTGATTATTTATTTAAAAAAATATTAAAAAATCCTTTTATAAAGAAAAATAAATCATATTTATTAATAAATAAAATCATATAAACAAAAAAGAATAAAAAATTAATTTGATAAGAATTTTCATAACGAATGACAAATTGAAGAGATCAATTTTAAACAATAAAAGTTATGTTTTTTTAATTATAAAATTTATAAAAAAAACATAAAGAAAAATAAATTAAATATAAAATTTTGATTAAAAATTACAAAATTAGATGAAATTTTTTGTTTTACCTTTAATTTTATATATTTTAGTTGACTAACAATATAGTGCGGACTATCAAACCGAAATAAATATATTTTATTCAACTCCTAGCGTAGCACGAAAAGCCGATTAGTTAATACTAAATAGAAAAAAGAATCTCAATTTAAACCCTAATTTATTATTTTATCTTCAATTGAATTTCAAACTTTTTAAATTTTATCAATTTCCTCCTAACATAATCGACATTTATTTCATTCATTCACTTTTAATGGCAATTAAAATGTTTTTTTTTTTCTCAAATTTACATGTACCCCTTAAGAGCTTCCATCCAAGGTGTTAAAAAAAAAATCTCAAATCTATTTTAAAAGACAATTTTAACGTCAAATCATGGTTTTTTTTAATTAAAAAAAAAAAGTTTACTTCGCTAACTTGTATAGAAGGGAATTTACTATAATTTGACGCTAAACTTATCGCTTAAGGCATGATGGAGTTTCTTTTGGCGTTTTGGTTAAAAACATTTAATGACGTGCAAATTAGATATGATTTATTAGCTATCACTAACAGGAATGTGTAGAAGGGTGATATTGTATGATTTCGATTACAATTATGGATAATGATAAGACATGAGGGTCTAGTACTCAATCGGGTGATATTGTATAATTTCGATTACAATTATGGATGATGATAAGACTTAAAGGTCTAGTACTCGACCAATAACGGGATGATGCGTTAAAAGTTAAATTTGTTATTAAATAATGAATATCTATTTTATATTCCTCAATATTTATATAATTCAAGTTTACTATTCAATATCAGAATTTAAAAAGGTGATCTAATTTATTCAATTATTTATGCATCTTTTAATAGTTCATAATCCTTTCAAATTCTCTTCATAATTTTGAAATGTATAAATAGGCTTGATTGTTCATTAATTTATGCATAAGTATTTTGTAGAGAATGAGAATTTATTCAGAGTTGTTATCTCTTGTATTCTCTTTATTTCATAATGAAATCATTTCTTTATTATTTTTCTCTCCAATTCTATTATTATTACCATTTCTTTTATAATACGTTATCGGCACGATGCTCTAACAAATTGAGACAATAAATCATGAGGTATATATCTATTAAAAGACTTAATCAGTTGTTTTAACCATTGGATTTCTTCTACAAGAGTGTTCTACCAAAAGATCTAAATTATTTAGATCATTAACAAATATGTATCTAATTTATCATGTACTTTAAATCTAATAATATATAGAATATACATTTGAAAAACTTAAATGATTTAATATATAAAATTTAATAATCTAATATATATTATTTGAAAATTTTAAATTTTATTATTATGTTTGTTTTTATTTAAATTTTATTATTATATTTTATCTTTATTTTCTAATATTATTATACTTTACAATATAAAATTTTTATGATATCAACCATCACAAAACTTGATTTTGTGGCCCTTGACATTTTGGGTAAGAATTATTAATTATGAGTGCTTGATGCTTGAGTAAATATCATCTACTTTTCATGTCTCGAATATGCTCATGTAGTAGCATATTGAGAAAAAGAGTTTAAAAAATATTTTGAATTAATTTCATACTTCTTCATGGCTAAATAAAACGAAAAGATATTGATACAAAAGAATAAATCTCGTCTAATTGGATCTACTCTATTCCTTGAAGTGAATATGACAACTTATAATAATTTTAGACATGAACGAAGACGTGATCATAGCTATGGACGTGGTTGAAATAATTATCATTATAATCATGATGACCGTGATAATACATCTCATCATCGAAGTGGATAAACTATAAAAAAAATAAAAAAGAATGAAAATGGATCAAGTCGGTATTCTAAAAATGAATGTTATAGATGTGACATGAATAGACATTGGTTATATATTTAACGTATACTAAAGCACCTCATTGAGCCTTATCAAGCCTCATTGAAAAAGAAATAGTAAAAATATAAAGGCCAATTATATATATCAAAGCGGTAATTGAAATTAATAACTTATTAGCTTTTTTATATATAAATAAGATGTTTTATTTTTTATTTTTATAATTTCTATTGCACGTAAATAAATATAAATTTATTTTACTATTTATTTATTTATGTTTATGAAGAATATATTTATTTATTTGATTATTTATTTTATATTAATATTATATATGATAATATCAATCTAATAGAAAACTCTAAAAGAACGACTATATTATTACTTGAAGAGACAAACTTTGAAGGCTTTAAAAAAGCGAATATATTATTATCCGAAGAGACAAATTTTTTAGGCTTTAAAAAAGCGGATATATTATTACTTGAAGAGACAACTTTTAAAGGCTCTAGAAGAGCAAATATATTATTACTTGCGGTGACATAATGTAAAGGATCTAAAAGAGCAAATATGTTATTATCCGAAAGGATAAATTTCATTATAAATGATATATTATTCTCTTTAAAGTCTCAAATAAATTTGTTGAGTTTCAAAGGTATTCATCTAAATTGATATCATATCAAGATAGCAAATATGAATACTTATATATTATAATCATTATATCGGGTAGAAAATATATATTGAAAAACTTATCTACTATCTCTTTTAGTCTTTATTACAAATATTGGAATGATTGAAACAAATACTATAGTAAACCGAAGTTTACTAATTAAAATACCTTTATTATGTTACATGACTAGTTGTGTTATTTTGGGTCTTTCATGATGTGAAAAATTATTAAAAATTCATATGGACATTTATTGAAGAGCTAGAAGATTCTTCAATTTAATAAATTTTCATTTTCTCGCATGTTTTCAAGGCAAATTGATTATTAAGTCTTCACCAAGTAAATTTGAGATTAAATCTCAAGTATTTTTAGAATGTATTCAAGGTGATCATATATATGGATCAATTCATCCATCATATGGACCATTTAGATA